TAAGGAAGAAGTATAAGAACCATCAGAAGTGAGATAAAGGTAAGGATAACAAAAATTTTAAGAGTTATAATGATATGATCTATTTTGAATGTAGGAAGTCGGGAAATGTTAATGCTGATAGTCCCGCACTTAAGGCTCAGCCAAGCATGGAAAAGGGTGAGGAGAAACCCAAGTTCATAAAGGACAAGGAAAATAAGCAATTCTAAAAGGCATTCTAGGTAGATTATGTATCTGACTCCTCTGAGATTGAAGCTGAAGAGGAGACTACAAACTTGTGCTTGATGGAGGACGATCATCTTGGTCAGTCTGACCAAGAAGATGTTGAAACTTATTCACTATGAATTAGGTTGTTAAACCTAATTTTATGTCACAGCGGCTAACCAAGATGGGGGGTGAATTGGTAATTAAAAAATTTACTCTCTTTTAATTTTTATACCAAAAATTTTATTTAATGAATTTTGTAAAAAAAGTTTTTCAACTACAAGTAAAACAGTAAAAATAGAAGGCAGTAGAAAATAAAAAGACACAAGATTTATAGTGGTTCGGTCAAATACGACCTACATCCACTCCCCGGACGCACCCTCCGAGTATTGCACTAATACCACCAGTGACTCTCCTTTTGCACCCACAGCAAGGCGGAGAAACTTTTACAAAACTCTCTTCCACCACTATCTGGTGTGATAGAGAACCATCATCCTTTTACACTCTTCCCAGTGTTGGCAGAGAACCATCGTCCTTTTATACTCTCCCGGTGTAGGCCGAGAACCCTTTGTCCTTTCACACTCTCCAAGTATGGGCAGAGAACCCTTCGTCCTTTCACACTCTCCAAGCGTGGGCAGAGAACCCTTCGGCTGTTCACACTCTCCAAGTGTCAGAAGAGAACCAGGTCTCCTTGACAGATCTTCTCACAAGAAATCTAGAAGGAAGAGAGAAAAAGTGAAGTAAACACAAACCACAAGTAGAGACTCTTATCTTTGAGTACCAAGTGAATCATTCACGCTCCAAAAGTAAGAATCCTCCTTCAAACACTCTCTCACACTCACTCCTTGACTCTCTCTTCAGTTGGCACGAATATCAGTAGGCAAAAAGACTAAATGACATTTCTAATTGAACTTTATATAGGAAAGATACAAAAACCATCCAAAAGCTGTTGATATTCAAGTCTGAACAAAGTGGATCGTCCTGTACGATCGTGGATCATCCTAGACGAACTTACTTAAATCAGTTGCATATGAACCCAATGTATATTGGTACGAACTGACTTCGTACCTGATTATCGTCCCATATGAACCAAGTTTGTCCGGTACGAACAGTTATACCATGGGTCGGTTTCGTCAAACTGTAGGAAGTTATCAAAATTTAGAAAGGAAAAAGCATTTTTGTCCAGGGACAAATAATCGTTTGTATGGACGAAATTTTTACAGAGAGCATTTCATCTTGGGACGAATGGTAGTTCGTCTAGACGAAATTTTTTTAGAGAGCATTTTGTTCTGGGCTGAATATAGGATTTCGTCTGAACAAAAATTTTCTATAGAGCATTTCTTCCTGGGATGAATTATAGTTTGTCTGGACAAAAATTTTCCAGAGAACATTTCATCCTTGCACGAACAGGATTTTGTCTGAATGAAAATTTTTCAGAGAGCATTTCGTCCTAGGATGAATTGTAGTTTGTCCTGGACGATCATGACTTAGAAAAATTTTCTGCCATCTTGTTCTATCCATTACTCTTCCGTGGGGATAACTGACTTGATCGTCCCGTACGAACCTAGTTCGTCCCGTATGATCAGTATGATTTTTGAAAGATCTCCCCAAGTGTGTGTGTGCTAAGCTACTTAATTACAATCACTCCCTCTCAAACATAATATAATTAAAAGTACAAGCTTCAATTTTTAAATTATCTCATGCTGAATTTTAATTTGAATTCTTCATTAGTCTGGAGTTCGATTATCCTAAAATGTTAGTCCACAAAAGAGCAAAAATAATTCTTCTAAAAAAAATGTTAGGAGAAAAACAAAACTTTAAAACAATAATATTTGGAATCATCAAAACTTTACAAGTTACAAGAATGTAAAATATGCAAATAGCAACTCTCTTAACAATCTCCCATTTTTTGATGATGGCAAAACAATTATTGTTTGTATAAATTTTAAATTCTAAGGATCTCCTAAACTCCATAAATGTACAGTAGATCAATTTGAATTAAAAGATTAAAAGATAATGAAAAGAAATAATTACCACATGTGGCGCTTTGCGAATCTTTTTCAAATTATTGGCAAATTTTATGCATCTTTTTATTTTTGGGCTTATTTTGTGCCTCTTTCTTTACTTGCGAACCATTGCGCATTTCTTTTGATTTTTGTACATTTGTATATATATATATATATATATATATTCAAGAGTAATCTTGATATTTCCAAAATCAATAATAAAAAATTTCAAAATTTTCTAAGTGCATCAATATTTTATTGATAAGTGAAATACAAAACAAGAAAATACCACAATTGCAATAATAATATTGAACATTAATGTAGTCTAATTAGAGATATGAAATTAACATTATTAATTATATCAAGTTATAATCAAAACTTAAATTTAGAAAAATTAGATTTTCTAATGAATTTAATTTTAAGTTGCACTTCAAGGTATAGCACTTGTAGGATCAAAAATTTTAGGAATTTTCATGTAGGCTAACACACATTTCAAAATAATATTAAAATCAAAACAACAAAAACTCATATTGATATAATTATAATGGATATTACAATCTATGAATGATATCAATACCACTTAAAATTCAAATAAAAAAAAAACATCTAATGAAACAAACACATAACAAAAACAGAATACATCACAAACTACTAAAACACAATCACATCATCTAAAGAAAAACATAACCAAGTGATGGTCCCTGATCTGGAGGAGGAGGAGGAGGCACAATGCTGAAAAAATTAAAATAACTACTTATCATAGCATGTTAGAACTAATATCATTCATCTGCTCTCTCATGTACCCCATGTCCTCATTGTACTGAACATCCCGCTGTTGTAAGTGAGTTTCAATTTGATCAAATCTTTGATCAAAATGAGACTTAAAGCGATCAAATCTCTGAAACAAATACTAATAATTTGGTTCACTAGCAGGTGCAGTTGCAGGTTTATGTTCCTCCTCTGAATCACTAATAACATGTGCTTTACGTGATTCATCTTTATTGAAGATTGCTCAAAAAGATCCGTCGTTGTAGTAGAGAGGTTCTTTAAAATCTTGAACTGGATGAATCAATTCATACTTCTTTGTTAAAATGTAGGCAACAAGATGTCCTAGGGCAATATTCTTTTTTCTTTTATGGCCGACATGACCAATTTCAAAAAATCCATAAAGATAGTCAAGAATTAGCTAGGCTTCATCTATAGGTTGTTTAATCATAATCAAGTAGGTTACTGTTGAAAGAAGAGGAGTGTTGACCTCATTTTTGTATGAGGTCTCTATAGGATCCTAAAATCAATTCGAACTCAATTTAATTTTCATCTCAATCTATCCAGACTTCAAACCCTTCAGATTAATTTGGATCCTAAGACCTATCCTGACCCTAGATCTATCCACACCTTAGGATCTATTTAGACCTTAGACTCATCTGAATTCTGGATCAATCTAGTCCTAGATCAATCCTGATTCAGTTCAATCTATATCTCAAAATTCAGTAAGATTTCAAGCCCATGCAATCAAACCAATCAAAGGTTTCAATCATCTAATATGTAATCAATAACCTGTATTCATCCATCAATAATCTTATAAATCTCAACAAATCAATCACTCAAACTCTAATCAATCACTTAGATATCCTACAACCATACCCCAATCACATCTTGATTTAGTATATCTAGCACATTGCTTTAGCCTTCATGACCTTAATCAAACTCAAATTATTTCACTAGGAGCTCTACATATCAAACTCTATGTCATTTATCTCCTCAATCAATGATCGATCAAGATGACCAATTGAGCTAGCTCAGGCTAGCTCAGTAGATCATCAAGCATTAGTTATCCTTTAGTTCAATTTCAAATCATTTCTGAATTTCATCAAACCCCTTTTGCAAACACCTTCACTATTGTCCAACATTTGTTTGAAAAACACGCCCTATTCTATCAATCTTGCTTAGAGTTGACCGCTCAAGCTAGTCAAATCAAGCCTTAAAACTCTCCCCATGATCAAACTCATGGATCTCAAACTCCTTGATTAAGACTATATCCATATTTCAATCTACAATTCCACACCACATCCAGGCTCCACCTCAGCTACCTTGACTCTTGTTGACTGGTCAAACAGTCAACAAGAGCTCAAGAAAGACTCTCATGGTCAAACCTTATTAAATCCTCATCTCCTTTGCTTTGGCATGGGGTCCAATGTATCTAAACAACTCACTAGACTCCCCCACTGCCACCTCAGCACTCATTGACCCATTGACTGGTCAAACAGTCAATGGGAGCCCAGATGAACTCTAAGTGGTCAAACCTTTGCTCAACCCGATCCCTCCAATTTCCCCAACCCGAACCAAGCAAGTCCAGCCATTGGATTTGACTCCAGAAGCTCTCTAGGAGCTAATCCAGCCCAGCCCAAGCCTTGGCGTGCTCCATAGCTCAACCAAGAGCTCAAATGGGCTCATTCGGTGAACCCCACCAAACTACTTTACCCACTCCAGCCCAGGCCCATCCAGCCCATAGGATTGACTCCAGAAGCTTCCCTGAACCTGGCCCGATCTCCCCCCAGCTGCTGGCGTGGCTCTAGACCTGAGCTACCAATCGAGTGGTCCCCCCTCTACCTGAAAATGACTCCAGGTCGTCCTCACCTGAGGCAACCACTCCCCCTGCTCCCTAATGGCCAGAGACAGGTGTCCAGCATCCCAGCGACCTCCCTAAGTGATCCTGGCCGCTGCTTTTGGCTCCAACAGACGAATAGGGAAAGGAGGGACGGGAGGATTCATTTCAAGCTATCACCCATTCAACTCACTCTCCAAGCGCTCTAGGTTTTCGTTTTGAATCCTGAGAGACTCCTCCACATTCGCACAATCTTTTCTCATCGATTGGACACTGCCGGCGGCGGGAAGAAGGGAGGACCGAACCTAGCTCCTTACTCGTCTTAGAAGCTTCCTCCGAGCTTTAAGTCTTCAAGGAAAGTGAGAGAGGACCATCAACGAGCTTAGAAAGATATCAATCATCCAAAACCGTCCCTTATATAAAGGTGAATCTTAAACCCTAGGCATTTAAATAGTTTCTTAAATAACTTTATAATTACTGCATCAATGACGAAGAAAATTATCCCCCACTCTTCCTTAGGACATTTTATACATCTATTAAAAGTTTTAAGTCAATTTCTTTAGTATCTTGTGAAAACAAAACGAAAGATGTTCCTAGGGTTTACGGTTTGGTGAGATGGAGAAGACGACACCGTAGCCGTCAGATCTATTTATAATGGATCAACGGTTATGATATCGTCGGATCGGTAATCGTTTCTTCCCATTCAAACCCCACGATGCTTCGATCTTCGTCCAGACAGATATGGACCGTTTATTGGAACCACGGTCTTAATCTTGGCCGTCAGATCCTTCTGAACAGAGATTTAACCCCGGGCCTGATCGTAACCGTCAGATCTACCGTACATTAGATCCGACGGTTCCAAGGCAGCGGATGTGTGGATCTCGCCTGATTTCATCTGATCCGCACATTTGAAATCACGGGATCAATTTTTGATCGTCCGATCATTAGTGATCGAGATCGAACTCGTCGTCTTGCTCCCGACCGTTAGACCCCCGCTGTGCAAGATCCGACGTTCCAGAAGCCTGCCGCGCTGGATTTGTGGCGGGTCCCACTTCGCCAGCCGCCAGCCGCGTGGACATGCCCATACGCGCCACGTGTCCACGTCAACGCTACCGGCTGACCAAATATTTAAAACCCTTAAAATAAATTTAAAAAATCCTCAAAACTTCAAAAATTCATCAGAATTTCATTTCTGATCCAATTTTGGAGTTCTTGGGCTTTTTTTGTTTTTATTATCAATCACTATATTTTAAAAATAATAAAAAAAATATTTTGATTAATATCTTATTAATAATTCCAATAATTCAGAAAACCTTAATTTTTTTTAAATAAAAATTATATATTTTGTTTTGAGCTAAATTTTTGCAGAGGTATAATTGGGTCTAAGGTTGATCTTTTGTAATTTTCTTAGATCCATTTTATGCATAAATTTATGATATTTGAATTTACAAAAATCTGGTATTTATTTGACCTAAATTATTGTAAATTCAAATGCAAATCAAATCAAGCTAAATTCATTGCATGTTAGAGTTCAATGGAGATAGTGTAAAGTCATCCTTTCACTGAAAATAAGTTTAGATCTATGATCATATATAGTTTAATTAAAATTTACTTCCAAAGTTATATTAATCTAGTCTAAAAAACTAACAAACTATACATGATCATGTTATGGAATTTTATTAATTTTGATTAGGATATATTTACATATATTTCTAAATAACATTAATCCAATTTCATATATTTATTCCTTTATATAATAAATTGTTTAAGTTCATAGGTTATCATGTAACCTATGATTAAAATAATTTATTATAAAATCCTTCCATAGAATATTAGGATCACTTCTCTTTACTTGCTCATGGTTGCTATATTCTGGTGTGATAGTAATTAATGTCCAAGGGTTAGAAGAACTTGATTTATATCTTACAACCTAGTGCCATTAGGAACAATAATTAAGGACTTGTGTCTTAGTCAACCTAGCCAAATCTAAGGAGAACTACACACATCTCTTTTGGGATGAAACTCAAACATAGAAAACTAGTGTCACAACCCCTTAATCAAATATACCTTGATTTGACATTAATTGATCTCAAACAACTATTAGATTTAGGTGATCCTCCATTAAGGGTCTTAATATTCAAATAACTCAAATAATTCAAATAAAATCCCTAAAAATCTAAAATCATTCTAATCAACTTTAGACTAAGTCTCTAATCATTCAACATTGAAAATAAAATTTTAAGTATCATTAAATTTTAATTAATCCCTAAAATACCCTTAACTAACTCTTAATTAAACATTAACTAAATAAATACCCTAAAATTTATATAAAATTCTTATAAAAATAAAAAATATAAAATAAACTCATTTAAAATCAAATCAAATTAGAAACGTATTAATTTTGATTTAAAATAATTTTATAATAATAAAATTCATTAATATTCAATAAATGATTAAAAATTCTAAATATCATAATAAAATTTAGTAAAAATTAAATTAAATTTTAATTCATTTAAACTAAATCAATTTGATAATTTGATTGATTAAGGTTCATTTTAATCAATCAAATTTGATTATTAATTTAGACTAAATGGATTAAGGTCTTTTATGCCTAAAGCTTGATTCTTTTTGGAGGGCTTTAGGCATTTTGATTTCAAAAGACCCTTAATACATTTAAATAACCAAAAGATCTCTTATGTATTATGTATGACTCCTTTTAGGAATGCACTAATACATTCGGATTGAAGATCTTCAAGCAAATATAATAACACACCGACCTTATGTAACATATACGACTCCTAAGGGAATGTATATTACATTGCATTTATAAGGTCCCTTTTCCTCTCTCTAATAAAAATTTGGGGACTCTCGAATGAATACCTGTCTTCCATATAAGATGGGTGTTCGTTCTGAAAGTCCTAAGACTTATAAATTGATAACTTCCTGCACTTAGGGAGTTATCAATCTATAAGTTCTTTAAAGCTAGATCAAACAACTTTAACTTCTAAAATTGGAATAATTCAAAATTCAAATACACCCTACTTAAACTTTAATTAAATTCCCATTTGGCCGTTTGTTTTGCCGGGCTATGATATGGTTGGGGCTCGCTTTTACGTCGGCATGGCTCGTGGCAACCTTTGGTGGTCGTCTTTTATTCGGTTGGGTTGGCTGCTTCGCGTTTCGCGTCACCAAATTGGATGGTCTGAGCTTCTTTTTTGGAAAGCTAGAAGCCTCGTCCAATTACTGAGCCCTTAGGATTGAAATTCGCTTCTATTTTCTTTTATTTTCTGTAATTTTTGCTTCTTTGCTTCATGTAACCTTTTTTGGTATTAAATGAAATATTTTGTTAAAAAAATAGTAACTTATAAATTCTATCCAAACAGAATTAATGCAAGAAATCGTTCAAAAAAAAAGCATATGTAAATTAATTATACGCATTCGCTCTTTTTATATTATCTCTCAAATATGCTTCTTACACTTAATTAAATTAAAAATGTGCTCCTTTATATAAATTATCCTATTTTTAAATGTGCACTAAGAATAAACCAACAAAACATTTGATAAGAAGATCAAAAACGAAATTTATTTGTAAAACAAATATTTAAGTTCACGAAAGTGGAGGGAGTACAAATTCATTTATAAAATATATTGAAATTTAACCAATCCAAATTCACTCAACTCAAATTTAACCCTTTTAATAAGCATGTCAGAAAGATCCAAATTCAACCCACTAGCAACCCAAATAATTTGAACCCGACCCGATAACTAATTTTAATTTAAAATTTTCATAACATACAAACTTTCAAAAAAGAAGATTACGCTAACAAGTAAAGAATTTGATGAAAAAAATAAACATAACATTTTCAAATCAAAATTAATTGAGTTATCAGGTCAACTCAATATAACTAGTTTATAAACGAGTCAAAATTTTAAGTCTGGATAGGGCTGCAAGCGAACCAAACATCTGACGAGCTACTCGTTGTTCGGTTCGATTAAAGCTCGTTTGTGATCATTTAATTAACAAAACAAACAAACTTGAACAATATTTTAAATACTCGATTCTTAAATAAACAAACTTGAACACTAATGCGTTCAGCTCATTTATGTTCGCGAACAACATCATTTGAAGTTCGTGAACAAGCTCGACATTAAGCTTGATAAGAAGCTCGATAAAAGCTCGATTCGTGTTTGATTTTGAACTCGTGATAAGTTTGATAAAAATAATTAATATTTAACTATAAAATTAATAAATATAAATAATCATTGCCTTTGTTACATAGACAATTGCTTTTATTATAAATATGTTTGTTCATAGATATGTTCATGAACGTGTTTGTTTGATAGTTAAAAAAATTCGTTAAATATGTTCACGAACAAGCTCGATAAGTACTAAACGAACGAACATGAACATGAACATGAACCGAACATGAACACTCATAAATTTAAATGAACCAAACATGAACACAAACAATAAAGCTCGAACAAACATGAACCAAACTTGAACAAGCTGATATTAAATGAACACAAACATGAACACTCACATACTCGGCTCGGCTCGGTTCGTTTGCAGCCCTAAGTCCGGATATGAGCCATTGGTAGAGAGAGAAAGTCATGTGTTAAATTTGAGCAGAATTTTATAAAAATTTTGTACGATTTATTTCAATTATCAGAGAGAGAATGTAATCTGAATAATATGGTCGCAGACTGGCAGCCGATAAAAAGTGAGGATCAAAGTAAACTGAGCTTATGGGTACTTAAAGTTGCATTAAAATAATCAAATCCACGGACGTGAAACCCACTCTTTAAACTCTGCGAATCTGCGATTTCCATGGGATGGAATCCATCCTGTAGCCTCCCACCCTTCGAAGCTCCAGCCTTTCTTCTTCTTCCCTGCTTCTTCTTGAATCAAATTAACCACGAGGAGACGACAGCACGCCACTAAAGAACAATCACCCCCACCCTCACTCGGATCCTCTTCACTGATTCGAACCAAGCTTGAGCAGAGGAGGAAGCAATACAGATGGCAGTCGCTGATGGCAGGGCGGGGTCGTCAGATGGAAAACTCTGGGGTCTATGCCGGCTTCAGTTCTGACAGGCCGGCTCTTCTGGTGCTGGAGGTGGCGGTGGGACTTCTTCGACGAAATCGTCGTAGGCGTTGACCCATCATCAGCACCATCATGGTAGTGGTCAGCTCGGAGAGGCTTTGGGGCAGAGAGCGCAGCAGAGTTCCGGTGGGAACTCGGTCTCTTCAGTGGCGAGATCAATTTTGCCGACGCGGCGTCGGCTTTGTTAGGGAATAGAGATAACGAATAAACTTTGTAAATATGTATTCGTACAGCTGTTACAACTGTACGACATCTTGCTTTGTATTTCGGATATATATACCCCTGTAATGTTTCATAGAATTAATGAATTGGTTTTACT